TATTAAATCTTTATATTTTATTGTCGTTTTTCTCTGCATGTTTCCTTGTATGGTAATTTTTTTTTTTTTTTCAACAAGTTGGTCGTCTCCCACCGAGGCAGGGTGACCCAAAAAAAAGAAAGAAAATCCCCAAAAAGAAAATGCTTTCATCATCATTCAACACTTTCACCACAATCACACATAATCACTGTTTTTGCAGAGGTGCTCAGAATACAACAGCTTAGAAGCACATACGTATAAAGATACACAATATATCCCTCCAAACTGCCAATATCCCAAACTCCTCCTTTAAAGTGCAGGCATTGTACTTCCCATTTCCAGGACTCAAGTCCGACTATATGAAAATAACCGGTTTCCCTGAATCCCTTCACTAAATATTACCCTGCTCACACTCCAACAGATCGTCAGGTCCCAAGTACCATTCGTCTCCATTCACTCCTATCTAACATGCTCACGCACGCTTGCTGGAAGTCCAAGCCCCTTGCCCACAAAACCTCCTTTACCCCCTCTCTCCAACCCTTTCGAGGATGACCCCTACCTCGCCTTCCTTCCCCTATAGATTTATATGCTTTCCATGTCATTCTACTTTGATCCATTCTCTCTAAATGACCAAACCACCTCAACAACCCCTCTTCTGCCCTCTGACTAATACTTTTATTAACTCCACACCTTTTCCTAATTTCCACACTTCGAATTTTCTGCATAATATTTACACCACACATTGCCCTTAGACAGGACATCACTGCCTCCAACCATCTCCTCGCTGCTGCATTTACCACCCAAGCTTCACACCCATATAAGAGTGTTGGTACTACTATACTTTCATACATTCCCTTCTTTGCCTCCATAGATAACATTTTTTGACTCCACATATACCTCAATGCACCACTCACCTTTTTTCCCCTCATCAATTCTATGATTAACCTCATCCTTCATAAATCCATCCGCCGACACGTCAACTCCCAAGTAGTATCTGAAAACATTCACTTCTTCCATACTCCTCCTCCCCAATTTGATATCCAATTTTTCTTTATCTAAATCATTTGATACCCTCATCACCTTACTCTTTTCTATGTTCACTTTCAACTTTCTACCTTCACACACATTCCCAAACTCATCCACTAACCTTTGCAATTTTTCTTTAGAATCTCCCATAAGCACAGTATCATCAGCAAAAAGTAACTGTGTTAATTCCCATTTTGAATTTGATTCCCCATAATTTAATCCCACCCCTCTCCCGAACACCCTAGCATTTACTTCTTTTACAACCCCATCTATAAATATATTAAACAACCATGGTGACATTACACATCCCTGTCTAAGACCTACATTTACCGGGAAGTAGTCTCCCTCTCTTCTACACACCCTAACCTGAGCCTCACTATCCTCATAAAAACTCTTTACAGCATTTAGTAACTTACCACCTATTCCATATACAGTGGACCCCCGCATAACGATTACCTCCGAATGCGACCAATTATGTAAGTGAATTTATGTAAGTGTGTTTGTACGTGTATGTTTGGGGGTCTGAAATGGACTAATCTACTTCACAATATTTCTTATGGGAACAAATTCGGTCAGTACTGGCACCTGAACATACTTCTGGAGTGAAAAAATATCGTTAACCGGGGGTCCACTGTACTTGCAACATCTGCCACATTGCTCCCCTATCCACTCTATCATATGCCTTTTCTAAATCCATAAATGCAATAAAAGCTTCCCTACCTTTATCTAAATACTGTTCACATATATGCTTCAATGTAAACACTTGATCTACACATCCCCTACCCACTCTGAAACCTCCTTGCTCATCCGCAATCCTACATTCTGTCTTACCTCTAATTCTTTCAATTATAACCCTACCGTACACTTTTCCTGGTACATATACTCAATAAACTTCTTCCTCTATAATTTTTACAATCTCTTTTGTCCCCTTTCCCTTTATATAAAGGGACTATACATGCTCTCTGCCAATCCCTAGGTACCTTCCCCTCTTTCATACATTTATTAAACACAAGTACCAACCACTCCAACACTATATCCCCCCCTGCTTTTAACATTTCTGTCATGATCCCATCAGTTCCAGCTGCTTTACCCCCTTTCATTCTACGTAATGCCTCGCGTACCTCCCCCACACTTACATTCTGCTCTTCTTCACTCCTAAAAGATGGTATACCTCACTGACCAGTACATGAAATTACCACCTCCCTTTCTTCCTCAACATTTAAAAGTTCCTCAAAATATTCTCGCCATCTACCTAATACCTCCCTCTCCCCATCTACTAACTCCCCTACTCTGTTTTTAACTGACAAATCCATACTTTCCCTAGGCTTTCTTAACTTGTTTAACACACACCAAAATTTTTTCTTATTTTCATTAAAATTTCTTGACAGTGCCTCTCCCACTCTTTCATCTGCTCTCCTTTTGCACTCTCTCACCACTCTCTTCACCTTTCTTTTACTCTCCATATACTCTGCTTTTCTTATAACACTTCTGCTTTGTAAAAACCTCTCATAAGCTAACTTTTTCTCTTTTATCACACCCTTTACTTCATCATTCCACCAATCACTCCTCTTTCCACCTGCCCCCACCCTCCTATAACCACAAACTTCTGCCCCACATTCTAATACTGCATTTTTAAAACTATTCCAACCCTCTTCAACCCCCCCACTACTCATCTTTGCACTAGCCCACCTTTCTGCCAACAGTCGCTTATATCTCCCCCGAACTTCCTCCTCCCTTAGTTTATACACTTTCACCTCCCTCTTACTTGTTGTTGCCACCTTCCTCTTTTCCCATCTACCTCTTACTCTAACTGTAGCTACAACTAAATAATGATCCGATATATCAGTTGCCCCTCTATAAACATGTACATCCTGGAGCCTACCCATCAACCTTTTATCCACCAATACATAATCTAACAAACTACTTTCATTACGTGCTACATCATACCTTGTATATTTATTTATCCTCTTTTTCATAAAATATGTATTACTTATTACCAAATCTCTTTCTACACATAGCTCAATTAAAGGCTCCCCATTTACATTTACCCCTGGCACCCCAAATTTACCTACTACTACCTCCATAACATTTTTACCCACTTTAGCATTGAAATCCCCAACCACCATTACTCTCACACTTGATTCAAAGCTCCCCACGCATTCACTCAACATTTCCCAAAATCTCTCTCCTCTACACTTCTTTCTTCTCCAGGTGCATACACGCTTACTATAACCCACTTTTCACATCCAATCTTTATTTTACTCCACATAATCCTTGAATTAATACATTTATAGTCCCTCTTTTCCTGCCATAGCTTATCCTTCAACATTATTGCTACTCCTTCTTTAGCTCTAACTCTATTTGAAACCCCTGACCTAATCCCATTTATTCCTCTCCATTGAAATTCTCCCACCCCCTTCAGCTTCGTTTCACTTAATGCCAGGACATCCAGCTTCTTCTCATTCATAACATCCACAATCATCTCTCTCTTATCATTTGCACAACATCCACGCACATTCAGACTTCCCACTTTGACAAATTTCTTCTTCTTATTCTTTTTAGTAATCTTTACAGGAAAAGGGGTTACTAGCCCATTGTTCCCTGCATTTTAGTTGACTTTTACAACACGCAAGGCTTACGGAGGAAAGATTCTTATTCCACTTCCCCATGGATATAAAAGGAAAAGTAATAAGACCAAGAACTATTAAGATAAAATCAAAGAAAACTCAGATGAGTGTGTATAAATAAATGTGTACATGTATGTGTAGTGTGACTTAAGTGTAAGTAGAAGTAGCAAGACATGCCTGTAATCTTGCATATTTATGAGACAGACAAAAGACACCAGCAATCCTACCATCATGTAAAACAATTACAGGCTTTCTGTTTTACACTCACTTGGCAGGACGGTAGTACCTCCCTGGGTGGTTGCTGTCTACCAACCTACTACCAATGTATGGTAATGTATTGTCAAAATAATAATAATAATAATTTCTACACGCACATGTACAAAGTATTCAGACCATAGCTGACATCAGTGACACTACTACAGTATATAGAAAGCCGCTTGTTATGCATATTATTATTATAATCAAGGGGAAGCGCTAAACCCAGAGGATTATACAGCGCCTGGGGGGGGGGGATGTGGAAGGCATTCAGGCTTAATTCGGGGAACTGGAGAACAGATCCAATTCCCTAAATCAAGAGCCCCTCACCAACATCAAGGAACCTTCCTTGAGGGGTTGTTATGCATAGCATTTCAGGCAAATTAGGTCAGTTTTGTCCCAGGATACCACCCACACCAGTCGACTAACACCCAGGTAACCATTTTGAACTGATGGGTGAACAGGGACAGGGACAGCAGGTGTCTTATGGAAACATGTCCCTAATGTTTTCCAGCCATACCGGAGGAGATTCGAACCCCAAGCCTCAGTGTGATATTATTATTATTATTATTTTCTACAGAATACAAAATATAGTTTACATGTAATAAAATATTGTTAGGCACAAAAGAAAGCCCCCTACCCTGCTAGGGTAAAGTCAGCATCATCCCTGATAACATTTGACTTTTTTGGATTATCCTGGGTGGTTTACACTCCCCCAGGTTAAAAATCCCAACAAGTCTTATATTAAGTTTATAATTCTAGGTAATTGGACATGTTGCTAGGTGTGATAATTATATTTGAGTGCCTGTACTTAAACTTACTTCAAGGATCTCAAAAGAAATGTCACTGGCTTTTTTGGGTCATCTGATGCAATTTACACTATGTATGATAACTGCACATATGTATACCTGCGCCTAAATAAACTAACTAGTTTGTCAATATATATTTCCAGGACTCCTGTGAGGCAGGGCTCAATAAGGCTTTGAATTTGATGGCCCTTAACAGCTTAGAAATTTTTGTGGCCCTTAACAGTTTATAAGTTTTGGTGGCCCTTAACAGCTTATAAGTTTTGGTAGCCCTTAACTTCTGTCAATAATAATAATAAAGGTGAGTTAATGGACTTCTGCACCAGCCTTCGTCGGGTGTGGACGTCTCTCTCGCCTGAGTATCAGTGACAAATTTCCACCGTTCTCTCTGGGACGTTTGCCCTCATCTATTTAGCCCGCCGGGCACTCTACAGGAGAGACACCTGGTACTACAGGAGGGGCACCTGGCACTACAGGAGGGGCACCTGTTCATCGGCTTACTTTAGCCAGCTCCATTTTTTCCGCTCTGCGGATAATTCTTGATCAGTCTTTGGTGTGAAGTTGGTTACTGAACTCAGGTGTGAGTGTGGGCGTCCCTCTGTGCTGGGGCTTGACAAAGACGTCCACCGGATGAGTGTGGGCGTCCTTCTGTGCTGGGGCTTGACAAGGACATCCACCGGGTAAGTGTGGGCGTCCTTCTGTGCTGGGGCTTGACAAGGGCGTCCACCAGATGAGTGGGCGTCCCTCTGTGCTGGGGCTTGACAAGGGCGTCCCTCTGTGCTGGGGCTTGACAAAGACATCCACTGGATGAGAGTGTGGGCGTCCCTCTGTGCTGGGGCTTGACAAGGACGTCCACCGGATGAGAGTGTGGGTGTCCCTTTGTGCTGGGGCTTGACAAGGACGTCCACCGGATCTAATTGGAAACTTCAAGTTTCTATCTATATTTACAAAGGAACTTTTGTTCCTTTTCTGTCATCGCTCAGCCTTGGGGAACAAGTTTTCCTCGTACCATCGAGAAGCCCATACGGCTTATGCTGTCAGTGGCTCTCATAAACCTAACAAAGCAAAGAAAGAAAGGTGAGATAATAAGGTTATTTGTGGCTCTGTAAACCCCAACATCAACAACATAACAAGGTTATTAGGGTACAGGTACACATAAGTACAGTTATCATACATAGCGTAAATTACCCACCAGGATAACCAAAAAAAAAGTCAGTGACTTATTTCCATTGGGGCTGTTTTGCGTTGTTTTATTTATACAATAATTTCCCGTCTGACACCAATAAGTATATTATTAACAATCAAACAATGGCGATCATAAGTGCTGGTGTTAACTTAAGATAATGCAGTTAAGACAGATTCAAGCAAACAAAACACTATTTGTCTACATTTGTTACATTATTGTATTATTATGTTCATGACCAGTTAGCAAATGATAAAAGCCCTTAGACTAAAAGCCTTGAATAATAATAATAATAATAATAATAATAATAATAATAAATCCTTATTTCTACAAAGCACATGATACAACTATTACAGACCTAGGTGACATCACTGACATACAGTATATAAAGTTCATGTGGTCAGCAGTAACAGGCTGGTTGGTCAGGTTATGATCCACCATGAGGTCTGGTCGTGGACTGGGCCACGGGGGCATTGACCCCCAAAACACCCTCTAGGCATTATGCATAGCATTTCGGGCAACTTAGGTTAATGTTGTTCCCAGGATGTGACCCACACCAGTCGACTGACACCCAGGTACCTATTTACTGATAGGTAAACAAGGACAGCAGGTGTAAGGAAACAAACCCAGCATTTCACCCATGCTGATCCCCAGACCCTCAGTGTGTGAGCTGAGGACATTACCAATTAAGCCATGAGCACCTCGGAAGCCTCTTGGTACCAGAGTCGCATATTCTATCCTAACATATCCATAACCCAACCCAACTCATCCCAATCCAATTCAACCTAACCTAACCATAAATACCTAACCTAACAAAGGGACGTTTGCCTTATTTTGCACTTTAATTGAGGGACTGCTTTTTTTTTGAGGGGGGAGGAGAGCATTTATTTGGATCCCTGGGAGCTCTAAATCCACAGGGGTCATACAACAGTTGGGGAAATGGGAGGCTATTAGGTTGAATTCAAGGAAATGCAGGATATAACCAATTCTTTGAGGTATACATTAGTAGGTTAACACTGTACGTATATACATCATAGGGAGAGGTTAAAGGTACTGAACCTGCTGACGATATTATATAGGAGCCCAAGTGACAGATCAACTGGGTTGTGATGGATATGTGGGTCAGTGGGCTGCCAGCAACAACAGCCTGGTTGATCAGGCAAGCACCAGGCAAGAGCCAGGGTGAGGACCAGGCGACAGGAGTAGCAAAACTCAAAATTCACTAATCCTCATACTTCTGATCTTCCCTTCTCTGGATTTTAATGAAGTCACTGGCTTGTGAAATGTTTCCACAATAAAAATTCCCAAATGTTGCACAAGTGTCTCATTCTTCAACCTGTTGGTTTTCTAAACCATTTACATCAGATCTGTTAGACAAAGCAACATTTTGGGATCTTGATACAGGGAATTCAACACTTATCTAATCTGTAGGCATGACCTACTTACACTATTGAATTTTTCCACTGGTGACTTTGCGTCCTCATGCTTCAACTCGCCTGACTGCAGTACGTATATAAACCAGTTCTCCAATTGTTAGACTGAGCACATCGACTCCAGGCTAAAGGACTGATTACCTCAAACTCCTTATCTTCCACTGTTCTCTTTATTGGACTTAAGAAGCCACTGGCTGGCAAAAAGTTTCCACAATAAAGATTCCCAAATGTTACATGAGTGTCTCATTCTTCAACATTTAAATCATTTGGCTGTTTTAATTTTTAAGGTTAATCATGACTGTTTTCTACTGTATCTTACAACCAGGCTTTAAATGATAGGATATCACAAGGATCATAATAGAAATACAGTGGACCTCTGGTTTTCGCTCGGTCTGGGTATCGTACAATTCGGATTTCAACCACGATTTCCGCTTGAAAATCGTCCATATGACACGTCTACCTGGGCCTCTCATACGTTCGCAGTACTAACAGCCTCTCCTCACTTACTGACGTATTCATTTACCGACAATTTGGAGTTACGATGGGCTCTCAGACGAGACAGTATTTTATGCCGTATGAGAACTTGGGCCACGGAAACGGGCAGCGCAGTGTCTCAGCGTCAAGCATCTCAATCTCCTTCTTACAGCCACTCAGTACACTAGCTTTTAAAGTTTCCAAGACAACATATTCATACAAATTTGTACTTGATCGTGCACCCCATAGTACAAGATAGAAGTGCAACAGCACTTGGAAGAGGATAATGGAAGTATAATAGAAATTCATTGTATAGGGGTTAGTGATGGATCTCAGTACCATGCAGTCTCCAAGACTACATATTTCATTTATAAATTTGTACTTGATTGTGCACCCCATAGTACAAGATAGAAGTGCAGCAGCACTTGGAAGAGGAAAGATAGGAAAATGGAAGAAGTACAAAAGAAGTTCACAGTAAAGGGGATAGCGGGTGTGTTCCTGTGTTTACATTCTCGGTCTCTCGTGGCAGTTTCATTAAGAAATGATTAAACTCAGTGAACAAGGTATGTCATTGATGGTGATAATAAATAATAATAATAATAATAATAATAATACCAACAGTCGCTCTGGAGTGCTTTAAATGTCAGCTGTAGATTTTACATTGCTATGCTTGAGGGCAGACTCTGCTGTCTGCTGCTATAGATCTTACATTACCATGCCTGAGGGCAGAATGCTGTCGACTGCTGTAGAACCTCAAAGTCCATATACGTAATTGGAATACAGTGGTACCTCGGGATACGAACTTTAACAATTATGTAAGTGCATTTTTGTAAGTGTTTTTGTAGGTGTATTTTTGAGGGTCTGAAACGGATTAATCTAATTTACATTACTCCTTATGGAAACAAATTTGTTCAGTACTCGAACAGATCGGCACTTGAACAGCCTTCTGTTACAAATTAGGTTCATATCCCGAGGTACTATTTTTTTTTTTTTTATCACACTGGCCGATTCCCACCAAGGCAGGGTGGCCCGAAAAAGAAAAACTTTCACCATCATTCACTCCATCACTGTCTTGCCAGAAGGGTGCTTTACACTACAGTTTTTAAACTGCAACATTAACACCCCTCCTTCAGAGTGCAGGCACTGTACTTCCCATCTCCAGGACTCAAGTCCGGCCTGCCAGTTTCCCTGAACCCCTTCATAAATGTTACTTTGCTCACACTCCAACAGCACGTCAAGTATTAAAAACCATTTGTCTCCATTCACTCCTATCAAACACGCTCACGCATGCCTGCTGGAAGTCCAAGCCCCTCGCACACAAAACCTCCTTTACCCCTCCCTCCAACCTTTCCTAGGCCGACCCCTACCCCGCCTTCCTTCCACTACAGACTGATACACTCTTGAAGTTATTCTGTTTCGCTCCATTCTCTCCACATGTCCGAACCACCTCAACAACCCTTCCTCAGCCCTCTGGACAACAGTTTTGGTAATCCCGCACCTCCTCCTAACTTCCAAACTACGAATTCTCTGCATTATATTCACACCACACATTGCTCTCAGACATGACATCTCCACTGCCTCCAGCCTTCTCCTCGCTGCAACATTCATCACCCATGCTTCACACCCATATAAGAGCGTTGGTAAAACTATACTCTCATACATTCCCCTCTTTGCCTCCAAGGACAAAGTTCTTTGTCTCCACAGACTCCACTCACCCTTTTCCCCTCATCAATTCTATGATTCACCTCATCTTTCATAGACCCATGCGCTGACACGTCCACTCCCAAATATCTGAATACATTCACCTCCTCCGTACTCTCTCCCTCCAATCTGATATCCAATCTTTCATCACCTAATCTTTTTGTTATCCTCATAACCTTACTCTTTCCTGTATTCACTTTCAATTTTCTTCTTTTGCACACCCTACCAAATTCATCCACCAATCTCTGCAACTTCTCTTCAGAATCTCCCAAGAGCACAGTGTCATCAGCAAAGAGCAACTGTGACAACTCCCACTTTATGTGTGATTCTTTATCTTTTAACTCCACGCCTCTTGCCAAGACCCTCGCATTTACTTCTCTTACAACCCCATCTATAAATATATTAAACAACCACGGTGACATCACACATCCTTGTCTAAGGCCTACTTTTACTGGGAAATAATTTCCCTCTTTCCTACATACTCTAACTTGAGCCTCACTATCCTCGTAAAAACTCTTCACTGCTTTCAGTAACCTACCTCCTACACCATACACCTGCAACATCTGCCACATTGCCCCCCTATCCACCCTGTCATATGCCTTTTCCAAATCCATAAATGCCACAAAGACCTCTTTAGCCTTATCTAAATACTGTTCACTTATATGTTTCACTGTAAACACCTGGTCCACACACCCCCTACCTTTCCTAAAGCTTCCTTGTTCATCTGCTATCCTATTCTCCGTCTTACTCTTAATTCTTTCAATAATAACTCTACCATACTACTGTACTGTAAAAAGATTAATTGGTAATATATGCATCAAATCTCCTTTGAATAATCTAATTTTATTAATATTTTTCAGGGGGATTATTTCTTATCCTGTGTTATAGACTCCAGTTCTGAAGTTGTGAATTGTTCAGCAGGTGCAATAGGATGTGATCATGGCAACAACAGTGCTAAGAAAAGCTGCCTTTCTCGGTTGTCGACAAACCATGTTGAAAAGTATAGTTCGTTGCCAGATTGGCACATCAGCAATGGTGCAGTCAAAATCTTCAATTAATTTTACAAGAAAGTTCTTACTACAAAATGATGGGAGCAAGAAAAGGTAAAACGAAAGTATTTACTCATAGTTCAACGAAGGTATGTACAGTAAGTCCTCACTTACTGTACATATCATTGATAGGTTCTTGGAAACTCCAATTTTATGTTAAACAATGTATAACGAAATCAGTTTTACCATAGGCTAGTAATATAAACAAAACCTTTTTAAAACTTCAAGTTTTTTGTGTTGTCACACCTTTTCTCTGTTTTTTGTGGGCACAGACATCAGGGTGCACAGTGCACCTTTAGAACTCATTGCAACAGGGTTAAATCAAGGCATAAATGTTTGCTAAACAAAAATTGTAAGGAGCATCTGCTACCACCAGGCAGTTCAAAAACAATAACAAAAAGGCAGACTCGCTGATTAGATTTTGCCACCGAAGTGGCTAGTTTATTGTGCACCCCATATCCATCCTGTGGACGGTAGCGCGAGCGCATATGGATACACAAAAGGCCTAGGAACTAGGCCCCAAAGGGTTAACAGGAATACATATGGTTTTAAATATCTACATATCTATAGTTCACTAATCTGTTGGAAGCAAATTTAGGAAATTTGCTTAGTATATCTGGTATCTTATTTTCATTAATAAGATCCATCAGTGCATATAACTTGTGATAGCTTATTACTGCCAGCTAGGTGAGAAATTTCTTCTTGAGCAGTTGCTCTAGCAAGAGATTTAAGGAAGGGATTACTAGCAATGAGCTTCTTGGGAGGGACTTGTAGGTATGTGATATTAAATGAACACATCTTCCATGGAGGGGTGAAATGCTCTTGTTGCCTACAGTCATACAGTTCATGCAGGTTATAAAACGTAATGCAATTGCACGTTTTCACAATCCATTTAGATCTGTGTGTATTTACCTCTAGACACTTGGTAAGATTCATTGTGACAGTGTCTGGTTCGTTTCTCAACATTCTAATACCGAGTACAGTGTTAATCTCAACAATCCTATCACTGATACTAGAAATACCAAGCTCTTTCCTCATGTTAAGAACTTTTGTAGATCTGGGACAGCCAAGAATAATCCTAAGAGCTTCATTTTGCATTAACTCCAAGGGTCGGAGAGAGCTTTCTCTAGCTAATATCAACGTGGGAGCAGCATAATCAATTAAGGACCTAACATAGGCTATGTATGTACATCATTCTCACATTAGCACCATAGTTGGGGTTGTAGCCAGCAACAGCTTTGAGAGCATTTAGCCTAGCTTTGCATTTCTTGTTTAGTTGTGGTATAGTGGATTTGTTAAAGGGTAAAATCTACACCAAGATATCTGTAAGTTTTAACGAAGCTAATGATTTCACCCTGCAAATAGATGGGGGGGATGTCGTTTGCTTGTTAATATCTTTGTTTTAGAGGAAGATATTATGAGGCCTAGTCGATTACAAATTGCTTGAACTTCATTAAGAATGGTATTCATCTTCTTATGCCCTGTTGTATGGATCATGATATCATCAGCATAGCTTATAGCTATATGTTTAGGTGAGGCAGGTAGAGCATTTAAGAGAGCATTAATCAGAATGTTAAATAGCATGGGACTAAGAACTCCTCCCTGCGGTGTACCTAAAGACATTTCTTTAGAATCACTTCTGAAGCCTTGGTAAAGGACAGAGGATACTCTATTTGACAGGTATCCTATTATCCAGCAGAGTAAGCTACCACTAATATTCATTTTGGCTAGTTCATGTAGTATAACGGTTCTGTTCGCAATATCAAATGCAGATTTTAGATCAAGAAAAGTGGTAAAACTAGTAGAGGTGTGTGCATTGAGAAAGGTGGAAATACAGTTCTGCACACTTTTACCTTTCATGAACCCATAGAGGTAGGGGGAAAGTTGGTGTCTGATTCTGTAGTACAGTCTGTTAAGTATCATTCTTTCAAAAGTTTTACAAAGACAACTAGTTAAAGAGATCGGCCTAAATGTATCAGGCTGTTGGGGCTTAGGGATAGGCACAATGAGACTATTGGTCCAGGAAGTAGGAAGAACGCCCTCAATGTAACTGAGATTATACAGTGCCAACAAAGGGTTATCATGCATGTGCCTTAGAGTTCTGAGAATATCATATGTTATACCATCCTCTCCAGGAGCAGTTGATCGACCTTAGTTTTAATGCATTATCTAATTCATACTCGGTAAAGAGGCAATCACTCTCATCAATATTTTGGCTCATAAAATTAATCAGTTTCAACATTTCTTCAGAAGTACTCTCTAAATTTTTTCTAATATGAGATGGAAGGTTTTCATGCCTGGATGTTTTGGACCAGTCATTTATGAGGGAAATGTATGAGAGTATAGTTTTACCAACGCTCTTATATGGGTGTGAAGCATGGGTGATGAATGTTTCAGCGAGGAGAAGCTGGAGGCAGTGGAGATGTCATGTCTGAGAGCAATGTGTGGTGTGAATATAATGCAGAGAATTCGTAGTTTGGAAGTTAGGAGGAGGTGCAGGATTACCAAAACTGTTGTCCAGAGGCTGAGGAAGGTTGTTGAGGTGGTTCGGACATGTGGAGAGAATGGAGCGAAACAGAATGACTTCAAGGGTGTATCAGTCTGTAGTGGAAGGAAGGCGGGGTAGGGGTCGGCCTAGGAAAGGTTGGAGGGAGGGGGTAAAGAGGTTCATGTGCGAGGGGCTTGGACTTCCAGCAGGCATGCGTGAGCATGTTTGGTAGAGTGAATGGAGACAAATGGTTTTTAATACTTGATGTGCTGTTGGAGTGTGAGCAAAGTAACATTTATGAAGGTGTTCAGGGAAACCGGCAGGCCATACTTGAGTCCTGGAGATGGGAAGTACAGTGCCTGCACTCTGAAGGAGGGGTGTTAATGTTGCAGTTTAAAAACTGTAGTATAAAGCACCCTTCTGGCAAGACAGTGATGGAGTGAATGATGGTGAAAGTTTTTCTTTTTCGGGCCACCCTGCCTTGGTGGAATCGGCCAGTGTGATAATAAAAAAAAAAAATTTATGAAGTCATTTGCTTTTTCAAGAGAAAAGGGATGAGCAACATTGCCAGTCTTTTTCCTGGTTACTCGCTGAGTGCTTTTGTATCACATCATTTAGTGTCGTGCATTTGTATGATTATCGTATATTTTACAAATTTTTATTCTACAATAATTTGTATTCATTGTATTCATTCAACTTTTTCTCATCAACATTATAACAAAACAATGTTATTCAAGGACCTACTGTACAGAAAACCTTTCATATAAGGGACTAATAGAGGAAAGGTGTAGCTGATAATGCAGTTTGTGATGGATAGATATGAGAATATTTTATTTATTATTTATCACACTGGCCGATTCCCACCAAGGCAGGGTAGCCCGAAAAAGAAAAACTTTCACCATCATTCACTCCATCACTGTCTTGCCAGAAGGGTGCTTTACACTACAGTTTTTAAACTGCAACATTAACACCCCTCCTTCAGAGTGCAGGCACTGTAACTTCCCATCTCCAGGACTCAAGTCTGGCCTGCCTGTTTCCCTGAACCCCTTCATAAATGTTACTTTGCTCACACTCCAACAGCACGTCAAGTATTAAAAACCATTTGTCTCCATTCACTCCTATCAAACACCTCATGCAATGCCTGCTGGAAGTCCAAACCCCTCGCACACAAAACCTCCCTTACCCCCTCCCTCCAACCTTTCCTAGGCCGACCCCTACCCCGCCTTCCTTCCACTACAGACTGATACACTCTTGAAGTCATTCTGTTTCGCTCCATTCTCTCTACATGTCCGAACCACCTCAACAACCCCTCCTCAGCCTCTGGACAACAGTTTTGGTAATCCCGCACCTCCTCCTAACTTCCAAACTACGAATTCTCTGCATTATATTCACACCACACATTGCCCTCAGACATGACATCTCCACTGCCTCCAGCCTCTCCTCGCTGGCAACATTCATCACCCACGCTTCACACCCATATAAGAGCGTTGTAAAACTATACTCTCATACATTCCCCTCTTTGCCTCCAAGGACAAAGTTCTTTGTCTCCACAGACTCCTAAGTGCACCACTCACTCTTTTTCCCTCATAAATTCTATTTCACCCATTTTTCATGCCCCCTCCAGCACGCCCACTCCCAAATATCTGAATACGTTCCCCCCCCATATCTCTCCCCCAATCTGATATTCATTTTTCATCACCTAATCTTTTTTTTTTTCCTCAAAACCCTTTTACTCTTTCCTGTTCCACCTTTAATTTTCTTCTTTTGCACACCACCAATTCATCCCCCAAATCTCTGCAATTTTCTTTTCAGAATTCCCAAGAGCACAGTGTCTCAGCAAAGAGCAGCTGGACAACTCCCACTTTGTGTGTAAATTCTTTATCTTTTTAATCCACGCCTCTTGCCAAGACCCTCGCTTTTATTTCTCTTAAACCCATCATAAATATTTAAACAACCCGGTGAATCACACTCCTTGTCTAAGGCCTACTTTTACTGGGAAAAAAATTTCCCTTTTTTCCTACATACTCAACTTGAGCCTCACACCCTCGTAAAAACCCTTCATGCTTTCAGTAACCTACCTCCTACACCATACACTTGCAACATTGCCACATTTTCCCCCCTTTTCCCCCCTGTCATATGCCTTTTCCAAATCCATAAATGCCACAAAGACCTCTTTAGCCTTTTCTAAATACTGTTACTTATATGTTTCATTGTAAACACCTGGGCCCACACCCCCTACCTTTTCCCAAAGCCTCCTTTTTCATCTGCCCATCCTATTCCCGTCTTACCTTTAAATTTTTTCAATTAAACTCTACCATACACTTTACCAGTACCCAACAACTTATCCCCCTTTTTTTTGCACTCTCTTTTAACCCCTTTTTCCTTTATACAAAGGAAAAATATGCATGCTTCTGTCAATCCCTAGGTACCTTACCCTCTTTCCCTACATTTATTAAAAAATTGCACCAACCCCCCCAAAACTATACCCCACCTGCTTTTAAAAATTTCTATCTTTACCCACAATCCCGGCTGCCTTACCCCCTTTCTTTTTACCTACTCCTCAGAA